CGAAGCTCGGTCGTTCCGCCTCACACCTACGGATCTTTGTTTTGGGGTAAATCTTGATCTTTCTACCCTGCAGCTCAGGGCCAAAAAAAAAAAACAAATGTTAGCAAAAGCAAAAAGTTTCAAAAGTGATCATATTGTCTTTGCCCTGTCTCCGCTGAGTCTTCGTCCAACGTCCTCCAAACGCCCAGCGGTTCTGTCAGGTCTCGTAGGAACTTGCTACCACGTTTTCCTTGGTCTCCGCCTCCGCAAATTGACCACCATCTTGGTCAATTTTGCGTTGACTCGCACAGTCGTCGACCCGCAAAGTTCGGACCCTTCAAGACATTGGCTAGCTGATCAAACAGTCTTGCAAAGTTGGCTATACATACACATATTATAGAATGGCCTTCTCTTCTGGCAAAGAAGGGCACTGTAGCGGGCATGATCCAGTGGCAAAAAACGTACCATTTTGTATCTGGAAAATATCAACAAATGTGGCAAAATGCCTCCCTCTCTAACTAAACAAAAACTCTGTTTTGAAGGGCCCGCCCCTTCTGTCGCCAAAAGAGCGGGCGCGCTTTTGAAATCGGAGTTTTTTTTTCACTTGGAAATGGAGGTATTTTGCCACACGTGTAAAATTTTAAGGAAATCTGAGCATCGCAGTTGAGGTACTTCTAGTTAACCTACTCAGTGCAAAGATGAACACCAACAGCAACAGGTATTTGGCCTGCAGTTTCAAAAATCAGAATTTTTAACATTGGAATTTATAATATCTCATTGGGTTTTTGATTAACAAGATAATGTTGTATTACAAACTTGCGACAGTTCTTAATGGGATAACGAAATAATTTGTTAGTCCATCTAAAGCAATACTGGTATTGGAAAATGAATTTAAAAGGGTCTTTTGAGACTTTTGAATTCAAAAGGTGAAGCCCTAAGGAGATGAAGGAACTCTTGGTGATCACAATCTTGTTCGCCTTAGGTAGGAAAGCCGATCAATTTTTACTTTGATAAACGATGATTTTTCAGTCCAACTCGGCGAAGCTTTCATCGGAGCCATCGTTGGTACGTGATAAAAGTGGCTAAAAAAATACTAAATACAGTGGAAGCGGCGTACACTGACGGGCCTGATCCATTGGCAAAAAACGTACCATTTTGGAGTATCAAAAATGCAGCAAAATACCTCCCTCTCCAAGTGAAAAAACTCCAATTTCAAAAGCTCTTTTTGTGAGGTAAAGGGCGCGCATTTCAATACGGAGTTTTTTTTATTATAGCGGGAGGTATTTTGACACAATTTTGATACTTCCCGGATGCAAAATTATAAGTTTTTTGCTAATGGATCAGGTCTCTGTACAACGTGCAACGAATCTCAGTCCGTCGGGAAAACAATGAGCATAATCGCTGTGCCCGTGGCGTCGAAGTGAAGAGCAAGTTGAATCCTCAGCGGCGCAATTAATTTTCTCGGCGGTGATGCGATTTTCGCTGCGACAGAATGCTCATTATTTTCGCGACAGACTGATATTTGACTGTACCGCATGGTTTTGCTTTTCCTCTAATCTCCCAATCGTTTTCAGGTCTTGTGGCATCGGTGGCCGGCCATTTTATTGGAAAATGGGTTAGCGGCTAGTATTTTGCAAATCGAAGAAATGAATTTCCGCCTGAATAAACTTGTCCAACACCTCAAAAAGGCCTTGCCATTGTCGCCTGACTTTCAGCTAGCCATTCAAAATATTGATTGTCAAAAATTTGATGGCGCTACGACATTTCGGTGTAGCAACGGTCCGGGTCAACAATATTGTCAGTCGCCTCGACTGGAGAGTAGTAAAAGTCTTGCAAAATAGAAATAATATAAGATTGCTTACGAGGGAATGATCTGAACTTCCCCAGCGTTTGGGAAAATGAGTTTTTCGGCCGATTTTTCTCGCCGGCTTGGCTTATTTCGCAGCTGGAAAATGGCTCTTTTTACCAAACTTGCCCAGCTCTATCTACCTGTACTAGTCATTTTCCCAAACGCTGTGAGAAGTTCAGACCATTCCCTCGTCAGGTCCTACAGTGAGGGACCTGATCCAGTGGCAAAAAACGTATAATTTTGCATCCGGGAAGTATGAAAAATGTGGCAAAATGCCTCCCTCTCGAGCTAAAAAAAACTCCGTTTTGAACTGCGCGCCCTTTCTCTCACAAAAAGTGTGGGCGCGCATTTGAAATCGGAGTTTTTTTCACTTGGAGAGGGAGGCATTTTGCTGCATTTTTCATACATACCGGATGTAAAATGGTACGTTTTTGGCCAATGGATCAGGTCCTATTTTGCAAATTTTTTTTGATTATATTTATTAACAGGGGGAGTGCTCCAAGTGAGACGTTCAGATTTTGATGAAACTTGGCACAACTTTAGAGTAATTTTCTCTAAAATATATGCGAGATCCTAGCTCGCGTTTGCAGAAACAACCGAGATTTTTTGATCGAAAGTCAGCGAAGATTTGAGACTTTTTGCCGAATTTCGGTACGAAAAGTTTCATGCATATTTCTACCATGCAGGGTAATGTTTTTACAAAAACAGCCAATTTTTTCCGCAAAGAAACTACCAAAGTTATGGCCAAAAAGTGTTTTTTCTCTGTCCGCTCTCAGCGTTTAGCGTTCTATCGGCCGTGAAGATCGTCCGCTATCTCGCGAGATATCGGACAGCCTTATATTATAAATTTAACATTCAAGAGTTTTTTAGGCACCAACAGCAGGACATTTATTCAGCAAACGTTTAAATGCAGTTCACCCTCTGAAGATCGCTTTAAAAATCTTCTTCCCAATTTCGTATACGATTGGCAATGCAACGGCTAAAATAAATTGTAAATTCGCCCATTATTCCGTGTATATATATGTACTTACCAACAATTGGGCCCACTACAGCTTCGGCGACCGCAACTGAAATGTGGAAAAAATTTAGTAGTCGCACATAGCATTATTACTAGTCGTTCCAGAAAGTGCGTGCACTTTTTGTCGCGGGCCGCACTGTGCACAAAATTCCTTTCTTGCGTGGTGCATTTGACCTTTCTCGCTTTCCGCATCGTACAAAAAACCCCTCATTCTGCACCGTTCACTTCACTTTTTTTTTTGTTTTTCGCACTGTGCACTTGGAAAATCTCCGCGACAAAAGCAAGTTTCAACTTTGTCGCTGCGACGGCGCAGGGAATTTGCACAGTGCAAACACTCTTTTTTGAGGATTTCACTGTGCGAAAAGAAAAAATGCACTGTGCGTTAGCGACAAGCATAGGAAAAAGTTCAAAATGCACTGTAAAAAATAGGAAAAAATATCCATGCGCTTTAGGAAAATACTATTAATAATATCGTCTGTCGGGAAAATAATGTGGATTTGTCGCGTCTTAGAATCGTCCGTCATCGCTTTGCGACGGCTAGCCGTGGATGGAGATTTGTCGAGTGCGACAAGGCGAGACATTTTACCACATTATTTTTCCGACAGACTGATACAAAAAAATTGACTTCAGTTGTATAATTCTGTCGGGAAAATAATGACCACAATGTCTCTGGAGACTTGGCGCGCGACTGCGACGAGGCGTGACATATCCACATTATTTTCCCGACAGGTTGATAAAATTAAAACTCTCATATATAATTTTTGCAATGATCAACTTACAAAAGAGGCAAAGCAACAGCACAATGAACAACGCCCACATTGCGAAAAGTGTTCAGAGCACACTGCGATCGTTTATAAATCAGTTCTTTATCGAATGACTAAATTCCCTCTTTAATTTGATTTACTTTTTCAATCAACTCAATTCAATTTGCAGTGCAATGCTCAGATTTTAATAAAAATTGGTAAAAACATTGGAATAATTTTTCTAAAACATGCGACACTTCTAGCTCGCGCTTTGCAGAAACGACTGATTTTTTAAGCTGAAAGTTGGCAGAAATGTGACATTTTTTCGCACTTTATCATTGTGCTTGTTTTTACCGTATATTGTTATATTTTCACAAAAAAAATGATTTTTTTTCCACAGGACATCAGCAAAGATACGGCCAAAAACTGATTTTCCCTCTCAACATTCTCCGTGTTTCTCCCTCGGCGGTGTGCGAGCCAAAATTTTGAAGGATTGATATGTGATCCATGCCCAATGCATGTTCAAATTTTTTAGCAAAATCTAAGCGTTCAAGCACTTCCCTTGTGACCTAACCAAATTTCTGATTATCTCCCTGTCCCATCAAACAGACGGAAATGAATTCTGTTGTTTCAATCTTTTCGGAACACCACTCGGATCTATTATTCATCTCTGAAATTCGCTATCCGAAATCTCACTTTCACTTTTATCTGAGTGTCCTCACGTGGCTAAAACAAATTTACATTTCATTAGACGAAAAGACGAGGGAGTCGAAGGATATATGTAAAGGAAAAAGTATTTTTCCGAGGTCCAAGTATTGTATTAGCATTTTCATAAAGTGCATGGGCATTTGTTTCTCTTTCGCACAGTGCTTTTTGAACTTTTTTTCACGCTTGTCGCTAACGCATAGCGGATTTTTTCCGCACGGTGCCTCAAAAAGTAGCACTGTGAAAATGCAAAAACACGCCCATATTTTCTTGTGGGAGTGCCTACGAATCCTGGCAAAGCCGTTGGATAGTCGGCGGACGCTCAGCAAAGGCTCGGCGGAGACTTGGCGAAGACTTGCAGTACGCGCACTTTTTCAAATTTTGGCTATTACAAACGTTAGTTTTCTTTACCCTGAGTTGTTGTAACATATAACAGACCAAAATTTGCGGCAAAACACGAAGATCCGTAGCTTTTATCTAGATATTATTGATATGAGTACATAAAAAATACCTCAAAGTAGATGATAAGCCCTCCTAGGACCCTACCAATCTTATTATTTCTACTAACTAAGCCTTCTCCTAGCCTCTTTCATGCATATGAGTCTAGTTTTTTCAATAAAGTGAAGTTTTCCACCCCGTTAAAAATTTAGTTAATGTTTACAAGAATGTTTCAGTTTGACGACTTCTTTGGAACAAATTGACAGCGATGTACCGGCACAACGAGCTGCACAGGACGGAGACTTTTAAGCCAATCATGCCTGCGTTATCTCCGGTAAGTTCCTATAGTTTAACCATCTAAAATGTAGCATTACTTTTTATACATTTTACATTGTTAGGTGGTCTACAACGGCCCTCGAATCACTTCGTGTGGACGGGCCGGGCGATGCAAACCCATGGAAGTTTGTGTGGCTGCGCATTTCCATCCTGCGGAGCCCGAGAAATGCGTTCCAACCGGCTACGATTCAACTTCTCATCTGTATGAAAGAATTGAAGACCTTGAACTTATTATTTTAATCATGTCTATTCTGATTGTCCTCCTCCTTCTGGTTGGGCTACAATTGGCTTGTGTTTTTTGTAGGATCTCCAAGAATTACGCGACCAAAGCGAAGTCTGCGGATGCCGAGGGTATCAATCTTATCTAAACTTCTTTTGGTTTTTAATGATCCAGTTTTTTTAGTTCTTCCGAATCTGTTTGAAATCAGTCGCTAAAAAATCATTCAACCTGCGATAAACAACATTTTATTGACTCTAGAAAAAGGTGTAAATCTCTCAAGTCCATTTTCTTCAGCTTCAAAAAGCACCTTTCTATTTCTTTCCCATTGGACCTGGAGGAGGTGCCATGCGGCCAGCACCGTTCACCATGGACGCGATTGGAGTCAAGATGGCGTTTGGAATGCTGGCGATCCCCGAAAGAATTCCTGCATAGTCCATTGGCATTTGAGCGTCAACGGGGCTTACAACAGCTAAAACAGAGTCGGAGAAGTCATCACAATATTTTGCAGATATTGCGAACCCATTCCGCAGACCTACCGATTATAAAAACACAAAGAATTACAGCTAAAAGTTTCATTTCTGCCCTCCGGGAAAGTAAGTGCAATGTATTCCGTGTCCAGCGTATAAATAGTCGTCTAGTCGATGTTACATACAAAGGCATACCGAGTAATAAAAATCAGCATCATAATAAGACCCAGTAGTCACAGAATTTGATTATAAATTTCATTTCAATGGGTTTGCTTTGTAAAACAATCTTTTTGACAGACGGTAACACGTTTTGAGACTGAAAAGTCGTTTACGCGTTGATAAATTAGGCTGCGATGCAAACAAAAAAATTGGCTCGTTAGAAAGTCAAGAGGGCTTTGATGATCCCGAAACATTCATGATTACAGTGTATCTTGATAATTCTGCCGGGACAATTGTAAGTCCAAAGTTGTTTCTTGGAATATTATTAGTCTGGTGGGAGAATAATGCACAATGTTGCATCCAAAGTCGCTTTGCCGCCGAGAAAATGAACTGTATCGCAACAAAATCAAATTGATTTTCAGTCGAGCGATGCGGTCGGCGAAATGATACTGAGCTCATTACTTTCCCGACAGACTGTAAATTTTGATGTTAATTTTGTAGCGTGTCTCATAACCGCTCGCGGAATCTAAGAGCAACATATTTACCACATTGTCATCACTCATTCCAATTTTCGGTTAGTTGGGACAGTAGCTGTCTACTTCATTACCATTTGTAAAAGGCTCTCCGCATTTTCAGAGTCAAATCTATTGAAATTATAATTTTGAACATGTTCGGTTCTTCAGACATTTGTAAAATACATATAAAGGTTCTTCGACCTTTAGTCCAATTTTATTTTGATTCCCAATGCGACTAAAATTACTGTCATTTGCAATATGTCTGCTTGGTAATTTTTTCAAAACTTTGTAGCTCTTGAATTCCAAAAGTAATAGCTTTTTGACCGCTTTGTTTCAGCAGTCACTGTACGATCGGACTTGGAGGAGTTTGAGGACAATGCGAAAAAAGTTATACAAGTTGTCTCAGAGGGCGCCTCTGCCATCTTCGGGCCTCAGGGCCTACTGCAGACCATCGAGAAAGGCGTGAAACAAGTGACGGGTCAGCAACAACCGGAGATAAATCTTGGTGGACTAAAAATTAAAATTCCCGATGTAGTAATTCAGAAGGCCAATATTGCTGAAAAAGATGACGATGAAGACGAGGAAAGGGACGATAAGGCAATAAACAAGAAGGAAGGAGACGACGAAGATGATGAAGACTCTCCGAACAACGATGACAAAAACGATTCAGATCAAGAAGGCGACAACAAAAATGCAGAAGGGCAAGACAACACTGAAAGCGAGGGAAACGATGATGATGGCAGTCCAATGAACAATATTGGAGCGGATAACCTGAAACAGATGCTTCAAGGACAAGATCTACGAGAACTTGTGAAGGGCCTAGGTGGTGGTGATCAAGGAAATCAAGAAGAAGACGACGGCGGAGACGATTCTGAAGCTGGAACTGATGATGATGGAGCTGGTGAGGATTCTGGTGCTGGAAGCGACGCTGGAGCCGGAGGAGAAGATGACGGAGAAAACCCCGAAGGCTTTGGCGCACGTCCTGCAGCTGGACAAGGAAGTGCCGGTGGAGGAGATAGTGATCAAGACAAGCTGCGTTGGGATGTAGCCTGACTACGTCGCTACGCGACTCGTCAGCCTACATTCCCAACGCGGGTGTGCGCGCAAAGCGCCACCAAATTAACCTAAGCCTAAGCGGCTAAGCAGCCTAAGCAAACTAAGCCTGAGCTAAGCCTAAGCAGCCTAAGCGGCTAAGCAAACTAAGCCTATGCGCTAAGCACCGCGCAGTGCACCTTATAAACTCACAGTGAACCTTCTCACCGCACAGTGCACTCGCGAAAACCCGGAGAAAATAAAAAAATTTCGAACCCGCGCGAACCCAACCGATATCGCCCTCGGAAAAATACTGGGACCCGAAATCGACGAGAAAGCTAGAGAAATTTTTGCTCTCTCACGAAAATGCAAACTCAACTTTTGCCACGCCCCTTTTTCCACGTTGCGACACGGTTTGCACAGTGCAATCTTGCCAAACGAAGCCTTTCCCAATTTGCACCGTGCAAAATTTGTTGGCGGAGTGTCGCAAAATATTTTGCAGACACTCCCCTTCGAAACCTGAAATTTGGAAAAATTTGCACAGTGCAATCAACAAAAAAGCCTACGTTCGTAGGCTTTTTTTCATTTCGCACAGTGCGAAAAACACCCTCCAAACGTTTTCCCAGGCACCCCCCTTTTGATTTTCCCACTTTCCCCCCAGACGCACCGTGCACTCTGCATTTTACCCAGAGAGCTAGGCTTTTTCTCAATTTGCACAGTGCGAATCCCAATTTTGGCTTTGTCGCTGCGCGAATTTTGGCTTTGTCGCTGCGCGACAAAGCAAAAGAAAAAATCCGCACAGTGCATCCTTTCGAAAGTGTTTTTGCACAGTGCGGAGGCCCCCGCGCTCGGTCCCTTTTTGATTCCGAGAGAGCCACCCATGGCGCAGTGGGTAGCGCGGAAGTCTGGCAATCTGAAGTCCCCGGAGGTTCAATCCCCGGAAAAAAAATTATACCACGTTGTAGTACAATTAGAGGGCCGTCATATTTTGGGTTTTTTACCCAAAAGTTTTGACTTTTTCGGGGTGAAATAATTAATGGAAAATTTGGCCAGAATTAAATTCGGCCAGACCGTATTTTAGAAAAATATGCAGATTTTTACACTCCTCCTGATCGAGTTTTCAATTTCCGAACGATTGAGCCAGGTCCTGTCTTCGTATCTCTACTCGTTCAAAAGTTACGGTACTTTTTATGTTTACGATGTTACAGTAACTCGGTTTCAAGAAATGGCGGAAACGCGTCAACTTTTGTTTTGAAGAGCTATTTAAACTCAGTAGAATGCTTTTTGAGGCGGGTGGATACGATCAAAATTGGCCGAGATACTGTATTTTTAAGCCAGATACCTTGTTACAGTAATCCCTCGTGTAGCGACAGACCTGGAACCGTGAAATACACCTTGAAAGACGTGTAATGACGAGTACTACCAGTGCTGTGAATTTTGTCCGGCGCGATTGCGTCAACGCTGAGAAAATGGCGGAAAAGCGCCTTACGGCGCAAAAGCTACCGTAACCCACAGTAAGCCGAAAAAAATCGGCGAGATAGGAGGACTATGATACCACTTGTGATGGTGATTTTTCACGTAGATTCAGAATTTGGCATCAGAATTTGAAATTTCCTTCATCTACACCTGTAGCCTAAGGGTGAAAAAATTGAAAATGTTACAGTAGCCGTAGTTTTGAATTTACATGAAAGAATCCAATTAGAAAGTTTGAAAGGAATAGAAAACACGTCCGATAAAGAAAGAATGGTACTCGGCGCTCGTTTCGCTCGCGAGATGTTTTTGAGTATGTCACAAAATCACTTCGCGAATTGTTTAGAACCGGGGACTGTAACCCGCCGTCCGAAAACCACTTCAGGCGCTTCCAAAAAACGCTCCGCAACTTTCCATGGCAGCGATTTTTGATTAAGGTCCTAGTTCCGGAGATACGAAAATCGGATTTTGGATTTGAAATCCGGATATAACCAATATGCAAATTTTTGTTCAAAAAGCATGTCAGATTTGGAGTCAGCGTGAAAAATGACCCACAGTGCATGAAGGAAACGTGTGGATAGCTGGCCGTTTTCATGTCGAATCGTTTTTGACTTTTTGGAACCTTCCAGTCCCGAGAGCCGCCCGCGATGGGGACACGACCGCGTTATGTAGAAATTTCTGAAAATCTATTTGAAGTGTTTTGCAAGAGATCTATCGGAACGGGACCTGGCTAACTATCTTTAAAAAGCCGCAAAGGTGGCTCAAAAAAGGGGTACTTTTTAAAAAGTCGGTTTTTTGCAATTTTCAAAATGACACTCCAACTATGGTGAAAAAACGAGTACCATATTCAGGTGTAGAATTTCATTCCACGAATTCTGAAAAAAAAATCGGCAGCATAGCTCCAAAAAGAAAGAAGAAAACTCGATTTTTCAGTACCGACCGGTCGATAATGACAGCCACTAAAAAAAAGTCATTTGGGTATCACAAAGAGTAAAAAAAAGAATGTATGGAAAAAAAAGTGAAAAAAATTGAAGTTAAGAGGAAACGGTCAGAAGCCCTTAATGTAGAGGGGGCGCGGCGGAGCGCGGCTCCCGAAACCGACGATGGAGATTCTGGTGCGGGAGGTGATCCTAGCGGTCCTCGTGCAGGAGACGTAGGTGACGCTGGCGATGATGCAGGAGGCAATGGAGCCGGCGGAGGAGATGCCGGTGCTGGCGGTGGAGATCCCGGCGCAGGCGATGCTGGAGGAACTGGTGGTGGTGACCCAGGAGCTGGCGGAGCCGGTGGTGATGACCCTAGTGCTGGCGGAGGAGACCCTGGTGCTGCCGGAGCTGGCGGTGGGGAACCCGGCGTAGGCGGAGCTGGTGGTGATGACCCTGGGGCTGGCGGAGCCGGTGGTGGGGATCCTGGAGCTGGAGGAGCCGGTGGAGGAGATCCCGGTGCTGGCGGAGCTGGTGGTGGCGACCCTGGAGCTGGCGGTGGTGATCCAGGAGCTGCTGGAGCCGGTGGCGGTGACCCTGGAGCTGGAGGAGCTGGTGGAGGAGATCCCGGTGCTGGGGGTGCTGGTGGTGGTGACCCCGGCGCAGGCGGAGCTGGTAGCGGTGACCCTGGAGTTGGCGGAGGCGATGCTGGAGGCGGCGGCGGAGGAGATCCCGGTGCTGGGGGTGGTGACGCCGGAGGAGGTGGAGGAGGAGATCCTGGTGCTGGCGGAGGAGAAGGCGGAGACGAGAAAGGCGGGGAGGACCATGCTGAACTCGCACACGGAAAGCCTGAACTCGAGGCCACCGAACCCAAAGGTAATGAGACCTCGTTGGACGAAGAGATAGCAAAGGCTTGTAAAGGCAAATCGGAAGAAGACAAAAAGCAATGCAAAGAGCTGAAGGCAAAGAAGAAAGATCTCGAGGAGATGGAGAAAGCCTGCAAGGGAAAAAGCAGTGGCGATAAGAAGAAATGTGAAGAATTGAAAGCCAAAATCAAGAGGTCCGAGAGTGAAGAAGGTGGTGAAGAAGATGATGAAGGTAAAGCAAAGAAAAACGGCACTAGCGACGAGGACATGAAGAAGGTTTGTTCGGGAAAAAGCAAAGAGGACAAGAAGAAGTGTGCCGAACTCAGGGCGAAGGAGAAGCAAGATGAAGCGCTGGAGAAGGCCTGTAATGGCAAAAGTAAATCGGACAAAAAGAAGTGCGAAGAATTGAAGGCAAAGAAGGAGAAGGAAGATAAAAATAAGAAAGATAAGGAGTCTGATGACGAAGAAGACGAGGGTAAAAAGAAGGAGATGAGTAAAGAAGACCTGAATAAGTTGTGCAAGAGTAAGACAAAAGAAGACAAGAAGAAATGTTCGGAACTAAAGGCACAGAAGAAGCAAGAAGAAGCCCTGGAAAAGGCTTGTAAGGGTAAAAGTAAGAAGGACCAGAAGAAATGTGAAGAACTGAAGTCAAAGAAGGAAAAAGAAGACAAAAAGAAGGAGAAAGAAAAGAAAAAAGATGAGGATGAAGAGAAACAGCCGAAGAACGAACCAAAGGAAGAGATGAGTAAAGTTTGCAAAGGCAAGAGCAAAGAGGATAAGAAGAAATGCGCCGAATTAAAAGCCCAGAAAAAAATTGATGACGCTATGGAAAAGGCATGCAAAGGAAAGGGCAAAAACGACCAAAAGAAGTGCCAAGAAATGAAAGCCAAGAAAGAAAAGGAGCAAAAGGGCAAAGAGAAGCCGAATGATGACAAGGAGAGCACAAAGCATAGCGCGGAAATGGATAAAGTTTGTAAGGGGAAAAGTCCGGCCGATAAGAAAAAATGCCAAGAACTAAGGACAAAACAAGGCAAGGAGGACAAAAACGAGCAAGATAAAGAAGAACGGCCCAACTCAAAGGCCGATAAGCAACAAAACGACAAGGAATGCAAAGGAAAGTCGTCGGCTGAAAGAAAAAAGTGCTTGGAGTTGAAAGCCAGACAAAGCAAAGGAGACAAACCGAAGGAAAGCCACAAGGAAAAAGAAGGTGAACACCAGGAAAAACAGCCGAAGGATATTGAAGGTCAATGCAAGGGAAAAACAAGAGGAGACCGCCAGAAATGCAAGGAGATGTTGGCCAAAGGCAAAGGCAAACCGAATGACAAAACAAAAGAGGTGAAAAAAGATGGAGAATCGAAGAAACCGGGTAAGAAGGAGGGTAGTCAGCCCGCGGACAAGTTACGAAAGAAGCCAGAAAACGATCAGAAGCCAAGTAAGAACCCAAAATCCGAGCCAAAAAGAAATAAGGAAAATACAAAGAATCAAAACGACGAGATGATGTCGCCACAACAAGATGACTCACCAAAGAACCCCAGAAAAAACGACAAAAGCCAACAGCAAGTTTCTAGGAATAGAAAGAGCTCGATGGAGGACTTGAAGCTTCATGGAAACAAAGTCAAAGAACAAGACAAACCAATGACGCCAAGAAGACCTCCGCCAACCCAACCAACAACCCGAAGAACAACAACAAGTCGAGCCACAACTAGAAGGCCAATGACGATGAGAACAACGAGATTTACTCCTCCAAAGTTTACCATGAGGGTAAGTGAGCAATTTGCGCTGCATATCGATTTTTTGAGCCTTAGCAGTCTGTCGAAAAAATAATGATCACAATATCACCACGCCAATCGTGTCGCTGAAGTGAAAAGCAATTTGATTTTGCCGCGACACGATTCATTTTCTCGGCGGCGATGCGATTTTCGATGCGACATTATTTTCCCGACAAGCTAATATTTTATTTCTTTGTAGACCGATCGATTCACACTTTATTTTTTCAGCAAACTCCGAGACAACAGATGTTTACAACTCGAGCGTTCCGTGCCCAAAACTTCAATCGATTCACAACAAGGCCGCCGTTTATGAATCAAATGGGCCAACGGCCGTTCCAAGGGGCCGGGCAGATGCCCGGTCAACAAGCCCGGCCGGCTTACGGATAAGTTAAGATAATGAAATTTGTTTTCAAAATAAATCTACACACATTGGATTACTTGCTAGTTATAAACTGAGATTTTTAGCCCAAAATCAACGTAAATTTTCAAAATTTTTTAAAAAAATTTTTTTTCGAGACTCCTACATTTTACGTTACTATGCTTTGTAGGCGACAAAAAGTCATCGCTCCTTTGAAAGAGCAATATCGGAAAGCAACCAAATCTGATCTCAAACACCCAAACAACTTTCAATTCATCGATCGTACAACATACTGAGTTTATTTCGCTTCGAAAAAAACGAACATTGTACTGGGTGGAGGGTTAGAATATTACTGTAAAATTAGTCAACTGTGAATAGAATATTTATAACTGGGCTTTTCTGGCGATGAGTTTGTGGATTTGGAAGCGGATGGGGCCGGTGGGGCGGGATTTGAGGAAGTTCCAGGCCTCGATTTGGGTCATTCCTTGCATGGGCTGGTCGTTGATGCGGCGGATTTCGTCGCCAATCGCCAGATTCTTGCATTTCGCGGCTTCTCCGGCTGAAATTCGCGAGATAAGGCCTTATTCTCGAGGACGGGCGATTAGGGAAGTGGACGATTGGGGAAAAAGACAATTGGGGAAACCGAAAAGTATTATTTTTCTTCCATGTAAGTGTCGAAATTAGGATAATCGATGGTGCTGATTTTGAAAATGACATTCATTTTTCCGATCCTTATTTTTTCCTTAAGTAGTACTGTAAAGTAGTAATTTTTTGAATTTTTCCACAACTGCTCGATTTAGGGGTTTTCGATGGTGCTGATTTCAAATCAAAAATGAATAAGATTTGCGGAATCAGCACCATCGAAAACCCCCAAATCGCGCAAAAGTTTTGTAAAAAAAATTCAAAAAATCACTACTTTACAGTACTACTTGAGGAAAAAAATAACGATCAAAAAAATGAATGTCATTTTCAAAATCATCACCATCGATTATCCTAATTTCGTCGCTTACATTGAAGAAAAATAATACAGGGTGTACCAAATTCGTGGCCCGATTTGAATTGGCTATAACTTCTTTAATTTTGGGCCAAATTTTAAAATTCTTTTTTTCCCTGAATCCTCAGACAACCCCATTTTGTCTGATATCAAATATGTTATACATAGGTAAGTGTCATCTACAGTTATTAGATTTATTCTTGAAGTTCATTTTTTTGGTCGTTTTCGGTTGTTTTTTCGGCCTTTCCCGGTGTGTCCGAAAATGGAGTCCGGTGTGGAAGAAAAGGCTTGGTCTGTGGTTTGGTATGGCAAATACGGTTCGCCGATAAATGTTCAAAGGGAATACAGGATGAAATACGGACGTAAGGCCCAACCCAGATCGCAAGACATTTCGGCGTTGGTGGAATAAGTTCCTTGAGATTGGCAGCGTTAACAGGAAACAAAAAAAGCAGGAAAGATGGGTACGAACGTAGCTGAAAATGGAAGAAGTTTTGTCAAAATTCCGAGAAAATCCGCATATGAGTACACGAAGTTTGGCCAGAACCGAGGGAATGCCCTCACCAAGGACCGTTCGACGAACTCTGGAGGTTGATCTTCACTTTTTGTGCTTATTCTCATCGTCGATTTTCAGGAGGGGAAATTCCACCGTATTTTTCTTCCGCACCGTACTCCATTTTCGGAAACACCGGGAAAGGCCGAAAAAACAACCGAAAAACGACCAAAAAAATGAACTTCAAAAATAAATGCAATAACTGTAGATGACACTTACCTATGTATAACATATTTGGTATCAGACAAAATGTGGTTGTCTGAGGATTCAGGGAAAAAAAGAATTTTAAATTTGGCCCAAAATTAAAGAAGTTATAGCCAATTCAAATCGGGCCACAAAGATGCCCCACCCTGTACTTTTCAGTTCCTCAATTGTCTTTTCCCCAATCGTCCACTTCTCCAATCGTCTTTTTCCCAAATAGACTACATTTTCCTTATTCTACATAATCCTTCAACAATTTCTACCTAAAACCACACAAAAAAACAAAAATTCCTACCCAAAAAAATCTTCTTCACCACAATTGGTCTTCTTCCAAAGTGGCTTTCCTCTCCCCCCGTCAACGAAAATCCCACTCCAATATCGCACTTCTCCAACACAATTTCGACGGGCTCCTCCGAATATATGTACAAATTGGGGTCGTCCTCAAACGTTTGGCCCTGATCTTGGACCATTCGCATGCCGGGCCTCATTTCCCTGCCAATTATCAGCGGAATGGAGCTGGCTTCGCTTTTCAGCAGCGTTCTGGCGTCATTGATGTCCATGTGTCCCGTGAATTCGCCATGAATGTAAAAGACGAGGTCTCCTTTTTGCATTCGATCGTCTCGGTCGGCGATCGAGGCCGTTGTAACGCGTTGGATTGAGATCTGATTGGTTGTGGGTGGGGAGATGAGGAGGAGGCCCACACTGCCGCACTCATAGCCGGCGGGTCGGTTCAGCGTGACGCCGAAAATGTGGTACTTTTCGAAGGAGGCGCCGAGGAACTGGCGGATTTCCGCGAGCTGAAAATGAATAGAACTAGTGAAAAATTTTGCAAATTCGAATAAAAAATTACTTGATAAGGCAATTACAACAAAGAAAATTTTTTTTTCCAAACAAAATTCACAAAAAAAAAATTATTAAAAAAACTTTTTTCGACTGACCGACTCTTCATTTTTCGGGCTCTCTCAAAAAAAATTTTCGCAAAATCTCAGCTGCAAATGCAAAAGGTGCTCTAAAATTTTCAACCATTGAAATATGGTCCATTTAGAGTCATTAGACAAAATTTTACGAAAACTTAAAAATTATACTTCGGGTACCTAAAACAATATCAAAAAATTGCGGAAAAATCAAATTTCTGATTAATAAACCGCATGAAAATAAAACAATTCTCCTATTTTAGCTTCTTTTATGACATTTTCAGACCAAAATCCTCAACAAACAACAAAAAATTTTCATCAAAATCAAGAAAAAAATTTTTGTACCTAAAATTTTTTTCCCCCAAAATCTTTCAAAATCATACCTGTTCCTCTGTTGGCTTCTCCTCAAAGTTATGTCTTCTCCTGTTCAGCCGGAAATTTGCTTCTTTGTCGAGTTGGGAAAGAAGTCTTTGGTTATTCGAGGGCTGATGAGTGGATGAGGCCGAGGACAACGGCGAATGATACTGTCCTCTTCTTGTCGATGTGGACACAAAACTACTCTCCGAGAGGGTTCTCGGCGGGGTTAGAGTTAAGATTTTTAATCGATCGTCCATTTTGGGCTCATAATTTTCGGAGGAGGCTTCGGAGCGGATTTCATCCGAATCCGCGTGAAATTCGTGGCGTTGCTGACTCTGGGAGCGATGTCTAATAGGGGGCAGGGGGTTTTGAGCCTGCGATTTGGCTTGTTGATCGAAGCGAAGGATGAGATTTCGAACGGGCAGAGCGGAGGGATCTAATTCGTCGGTCTGAAAGGGGAATTGGGTAAGTATAAGGTAAAATAAGGTGAGATCTCGATGAAATCGAAAGTAAATCGATAAATTTTGAGTTGTAAATTAATCTCTACTAAATTTAGCGTCATCCAAAGTCCATATAACACAGTTTAACCCAAAATTTCACATAAAATTTCAAGATTTTTTGACCTGACATCAAAAAGATACTTTTTTTCCAATATCTCGACTATGCCTAAAATTTACCTTCCAAAATTTTAAGCGAATCATCTATCTACTATCATCAATCCCTCTGCAAACATTCAATCTATTTGGTACATTACCCTTTAACTTGTGATCAAATTAATCTCTGATACCTAAATCAATATAAAATTGATGGAAATCCCAAAACCCTTTGTCTATTTTCATAAACAAAGACTCCATCGACCTCTAAATTCCATTTACTCACCTGTCCGCATTGATTTTGCTCATGTTTCCACTGATCGGATCCACTGGAACAGCTGATCGGCGAAAGTGAAGCCAGCTCGTGTGGGACGGCGGAATCCTCGGACTCGGATAAGCGAGACTTTCGACATGCATTTCGGGTCAATGTTGCGTCATTCATACGGACATTTCCATCAGTTTGGCTTGAGGAGCGATCTGATTCATCATCGTCTTCATCAGCTATAAAATTTTCGAAATTTTATCTAATAACAACTAAAAACGAAATCAAAAAGAGTCAAAATTGATCGTAAATTAAATTTAGAGTCTCTTGAAATCAAGGACTTACTCATTAGCGAGTCTGCACTCTTTCCATTCCCCATGTATTTGTTGGTGGGGGCATCGGCAACTAAAATTGTTTGTGTCTGCGTCTCCGTGGGTTTGGCTTGTTGCCGCTCATAACGCGTTGATAGTCCATCTAATGGAGATTCTCTTCCAGCATGTTCACTTTGAGATCGATGCGCATTGAATTTACTGGAAATAAATCCAACTTACACCTACTACAACATCAAAATTCTCTCAAAAATCGACAAAAACAAGATCAAAATCGATACCTAAGCACTTTTCGATCCATCTCGTCTAAGAATGTGGAATTTTGCGTGGACGTTGAGCTCAAAATCCCTCGACCGGCCGCCCGAAAGCTTCGATTTGTGTTCTCGGATGAGGACGAAGGTTGTTGCGAGAAAACGGACACGTATCCAAAGCCGTTCGGGTTCTCCGTCCGAGTACGGCGCATCCCAAAAAAGCGAGGTTCTGAAATTGAGAGAAAAAATTAGAAAATTCTTGCGAAATCCATGAATTTTTGAAAAAAACGTCAAACTTTATGTGAGGATTATGGAGAAAAAACGTAAAAGAAAAAGATGGCGTTTTACGTGGAAATAAAGGTGAAATTAATTGGGATTGTAAAAAATTATGAACTGAAGACTATTATATATTATTTTTCTAACAAAAAATCCATTTTGAAAAGGTCCGAACACCATTTTTTGGCGATATTACACTTGAGTTGTACCTAAAATCTGATAGTCGGAAAAGACCATAGATCCGGCAAATTGGTGGTTACACAAAGTCCAGGAAGAATTTCCAATTCTTAGAGAAAGACTGGAAGTATAACTTCAATGATAACGACCAAAAAAATTATATTATCCATGATGCAGATAGAAGGTACATTATAGATAAAACTAAAAGGTAGAGAAGGATGATTGCGGCTCGAATAGAAGAAACAAAGTCCATGTAGTCTATTCGTTAATATTTTAGAAGATTTTTACACAACAATTTTTGAAAAATCGTCGAAATTCCGATATTATCCATCAGACCCCATGGTCCGGAAAAAATGGTCTATAAATGGATAAAAATGGAAGATAAAAAAGGTAAAATACGAATGAACCTACAATAGTTGAAATATAGCATCCTTTTCAACCATTTTCACCTAACAAAACAACCAAAAATAGCAAAAAAATTCCGATATTATCCATGACAACCAATTCTCAAGCAAAACCCCAAACTTCTCTCATTTTCCGTGCAAACCGCAATGTTCAGGGATGTAAAACCACTCCGGTGTTATCAAACACACCTCGGACAATATTCGCAAACCCTTCTGCGGTGATGCAAAAGAGCCTTTTAAAGCGGTTTTTTCCAGAAAATCCGCGGAAATTTTAATCCGTTGACTCACTCGCGGGCGCTCACGAACAATATCGAGGTCATATGGGGTGGTGATCTTTCACATAAGCTGCGGTTTGGAATAATGTTTGATGCGAGTTTACGAAAAAAATAAAATTTTGAGGATTTCTGAAAGAGGAGGGGAAGAGTTGACTCATTAAGGTCAAGTGTTCCGCTCTAATAGGAAAGTGCTGGAAAACTGTAATTTTTGGCAGGAGAGTTAGGGAAATAGTAAGATTATGGGTTAAAAAGCTTTTGAAGAATTTTAAAAACAAAATTTTTTGGAGGCGAGCTCATAAAACCACTTTTGGGTCAAGTCTTACTCTCAAATTCTAAATTACAGTAAGAAACACTAATTTTGTTGGAATTGTGATGGCAAATAATGTGTCAAAAAGCTCTAGAAATCCATCACTAATAAAAGAATGCCAAGGAAAGATCAAAAATTCCCATTTTTATTAATAAAATAAATCTGGGTCAAGTCTTCCCCTCGGATTCAAAAGTCTCACAAGTCTAAAAAATCAAAGCCCCCAAAAACTGCTCGCCACAAATTTGATGACTATATAACATGTGAGGAATGATTGATAACCTCTTATCAGGCGCCATTGACATAAATCTAAATTTATAGGTCCGGAATGTGTTTTTGTTCCGGAAGCCGGCGCCATAGTCGTGACATGGTACCGGAAAAAAACATGTTCTCGGCAGCGCAAGTTTGTGTTTGAGCTTGAGGGTGCAAAAAGTATTGAGATAAGACACGATAAAGGGGGAGAAAATGGGTGTGAGATAAGTTGTAGTTAGCAGCGAAAAGAATTGGGTGTTATTGCAAAACAAGTTGATAATATTTTGGAAAACGGAATTTCAGAGAGTGGTATATTGAATAAACTTTCTATTCTCGAAGTTCTGAGAAAATTTAGGCAACTGAAAAAATTTAGAGCACATTTTACAAAAATCGTCAAAATTTTTTGGATGATACCACAAAAAATCCCGTTTTCCTAAATTTTTGGCAATAAAATTAGCTCTTCTTTGACCTCATATAAAACCTGACACATTCAGCTCTCTATAGAGCCCAAAATCAACCTTCTGGAAGCGATATCTTTTTGTTACCGGTCGATTTTTTAATACGTCCTCAAAAAATTGAGGCCTTTGGCAATTTCGAATTTTCACCGGGAATTTCCCAGTAAAAATCGCTGAAAAAGTAAACAAAAAATGCTACAGAAACCTTTTTCAATAGCGACTAGAATTTTTTTGGCCTCAGGTAATTTGATGCGCAAAAAAAAATTTTTTAATTTGGTGACAAAAAAATCTAAAAAATTGCCATACCCGCAACAAATCCCCCTCCAAAAGTCAAGAACCCCCTGAGCAAAACGGTCGAGAACAATTGCCATCCAGCAAAAAAAAGTGGTTATCGAAGCGTGACAGTCGAAAAAAGTGAGCGGAAATCGCAAAAAAAAGCCGGCGTTCCCGGTTAATCGGATTCGGAAGCGCGCAATGGGCCTCTATTGTTCGACCGAAGCACATAATGCACTGTTATATACAACGAACATTACGGAAGAGTTTCAGCGAGTGTCAAAGTTGACGAATAAAAGACGACAAAATGAAGGGAGTAATCCGATGCTTTTCGGAGCGCTCCGTTAGATATTTTTTTATTATTATTGCAAGATGCTTGAAGTGTAACCTTCAGATTTGGGATGGAGAGAATATCCAAGTTATAGCCACGATTTTTAAAGGCGTATTTTTTAGCTTGTACTTGGCCAAAAAAAATTTAATTTTTTGGAAAAAAAATTAAACTAAAAAAAATTTTTTTTCAAAATGAAAAAATGGGTATTTTAGTCTTCTACAGCGACCAACATGTACGCCAAAAGTCACTTTTTTTCGCGGAAGAATGGCGAACATGCAAAGATACGGCCAAAAAGAATATTTTCTCTGACCGCTCTCCGCATTCTGCGTACTCTCTCGCCCAAAAAGATCGTTGAATATCTCGGCTCTCCCTGCCAAACGCAAACTAAAATTTTCAGGAATTAATAAGTGATCCATGTAAATCAAATACTCAAAGTTTAAGAAAAATCAAATCAAAAAAAAAATTTTTTTTTCAAAAAATCGTCTTTTACCTATTACAAGCACAAATCAAAAAATGTAATGTAAAAAATCTTATTTTGGATGGCCATAACTACCGTCTTACAACTTTATAGGACAGTCAATCAAATGGACGTAATCTTGTTTGCAGTTTTATTGGCTCGGCAGACTTACGGGCGGTGCGAATAAAAGTGAGGAAGCAATAAAATATATGAGAATTGAATGACCATCAAGAAGAGCCTCGAAAGAAAGTTAGGACAGAAAAAAATGTGTGGAGTTACCGCTGGGTAAATGTCGAAAATAAAAATTGGAAAATTAGTTTTATTTTTCTCCAAATCTTGGGAAAAGACTTGAAAAATGTGAAATTTCTGATGAAAAGTTTTGAAAAAAAGACGCCCAGATTTTTTTTGAATTTTGAACACACATCAAGCATGGATCAAATATTAATCCCAGAAATTTTCAGCTCGCGGTCTACAGGGGAAGCCGAGATATTGAACGATCTTTCTCCGCAAAGAGAGTATGCGAAATTCGGAGACCGGTCAGAGAGAAAACCCGTTTTTGGTTGTATCTTTGCCAGTTTCTTGCGAAAAAACTTTATTTTTTATGGAAACTTTGCTCTCTATAGTAGAAATAGATATGAAACTTTTCATGGCAAAATTCGCTAAAAAAGGTTTTACATTTTTGCCAAGTTCCAAACTAAAAATCTCGATCATTTCCACAAAATGCAAGCTAGACGTCATGCATATTTCTTACAAAAAATTCATCTAAATTTGTGCCAAGCTTCACCCTCAATAAAGATGCCATGAAAAGGTTTTCCAAGTCATCAAAAACAAAATGGACATTCTTCTGGCCGAAGGACCAAAGATTTTCCCAGAAACGCATTTTTCAATCGGTCATTTCGCGGGCAGCTGACAAAAAAAGGTTATAAATCCCCTCGAAACGTCTTCATAATAAAAAAAATCATCATTTGACATACTTATCACTTTGTCGGGAAAATAATGTGGATTCATCGCGGCTTGGAATCGCCCATCATCGCTTTGCGATGGCTGGCGACTTGGAGCATCGACGAGGCCATAAATTTTGCAGCGAAAAATCCACATTATTTTCCCGACAGACCGATATAATATTCAATAAAAATAAAAAATAAATTCTTTTTTTCCAAAAACCTACATACATCTTCTGCCTCACACATACAATAACAAACCCTTACGGTCGAAACCCTTTTAACACTCGCCAAGTCGGAACTTATTGTATCGCCGCGCGCAGAAACCGCGCGCTGTTTTCCCCCTCCGCTTGTCCATTCCGATCTTTTTCAAAAAAAAAAGTCAAAATAACCAAAGGGCCACTCGCTCCCACTTCCCCTCCGCCCTTCGGCTCACTTATAAACGATAACTGTATGTTGTGGGAGTGCGGCTGGAAGGGGGGAGTTTGAATAGACATTTCAGACGTGTTTTGACGCAGTTTGAGGAGATTTGGCTCGGAAAATTTCGCTTGTTAAAATGGAAAAAAATAAAAACAAAATAAAAAAAAAAATTTTGAATTTAAAAATTTTAGTTGGAATATTAAAATTAAAACCGAAAAATCGATAAAAATTTTTTGTCATTTTCTGAAAAAAAATTTAGAAGACTAGGATAAAATTAAAAAAAAGATTTTTTTTTGAATATTCAAATTTTAGTTGGAATATCAAATTCAGAAATTTACAATAAAATATGCCAAAAATTGACTGAATTAATAGTAATCAAACGTTTTGATTTTTTTGGAAAAATTTGGAAAACTACAATAAAATAAAAAAATTTTTTTTTGAATATCCAAATTTTAGTTGGAATAAAAAAATCAGTAATTTGCGACAAAATTAGAGTAATTTTCCTTAAAAAAATGTGAATATAAAAATTTTAAAATACGCCTTCGCTAATTTTCCGTTTTTTAATAATCTTTGCAAAATTTTTTTCCAGCCTAATTTAAAATTTTTATATTCAAATCCCCAAAATTTTGTAAATTCGTATATTCCTCCCAAATTTCAAATTAAAAAAACTGATTCCCTGGAAAATTACGTTTTGCACGAAGCTTGTAAAAAAAGGGAAATTACATACTATAAAAACAACGTTCATAAGGTTTCGTGAGAAGGTAAAATTAGATAGGGAAAAATGGATATCCCGAGCGAAAAGGAAAGAATTGAATGCAACCGAGTAAAAAAAATATTATATATATTACAGGGTGTACCAAAAAAATGGAAACTTTTTTTCATTTGTCCTGACGCAAAAATGGTTAGGTGTAGCCAAAGAAGTTTATTACTATAAAATTCTCTGTGTTTTTCTGTCCTAGTGGTTTGATTTTTAGGCCCATATCGATTAATCGACCTGTCTTTTTGAACTTCAAACAAAGGGAAGCGAAATGACCGCCTGCTCGCCAGATCTAAGTCCAATGGACTATATATTTTTTTAAATAGAAGGCCAGCACCTGTACTATGCTTCACAAAAGTTTGGAGTCGCAAAGTAAATGATGCGCCAAGAACGGGACCGATTTCCCCCTTAAAAAGCTGCGGCCCGGACCCCAAAATTTTACGTCACGTTTGGAGCTCTATATCGCCACCAAAGGCAGCCACTGTAAAACAGGTTGAACATGTTATAAACAATGCTCTATGTTACCAATCATGACCGTTACTTTTGCTGAATTTTGATTCTCCGAAAAAATATAACTATGAAAACAAGTTTCCATTTTTTTGGTACACCCTGTACAAGTATAGCTATTGGTCCATGCTGGGGCCAAATGCGCTAACTGAAAGTTTGCTGAAAGTTAGCTGAAAATGGAAGGGCGCAGCTCGGAAAACAACGTTTCGCAGCTCGCCGGAGCTAAGCTTCAAACTTTCAGATAGCGCATTGGCCCCAGGGCCAAAAACAGTGGCCCGGCTCGCTTTTTTTCAAGTTTTCTTCGGCTCGACCCGATAGAAAAAATTCCTCAATGAAAAGTAGTACCAATGTAAAAAAGTTTTCTATGACCGCTCTCTAGGCTTCGCGTACTCTCTCGACCCAAAAGATCGTTGAATACCTTAGCGGGGTTTGCAAAGCAAAAGCTAAAATTTTCAGAAGTTGATATGATGACTATATCCGTCGTGTGTACAAACGGTAAAAAAACTAAACACTTTCTATGTTAGGCAGAAATTTTCCCAATTTTGATCAAAAGCAATTTACTGTGTCCGACATACTGCAGAGAGTGGCACCTGGAAACAACAAACTCCCATACAACAAAAGACCATTGAACCGACGATTTCTTATAGAGCCTATACGAACCTAGGTTCTCAAGACAAATGTATTTTCTCCCCATTTTCGCCCCACACAATACATCATGCTTATATGGAGCCATTCGCCGACAAAGCCAATGCCCTCACATTTCATGGCCGCCGGTCATTTTCGGCCTTCTCCAGATTTTCGCGCAAGATACGAAAGCCTATAATTTTAAGACAATTTACGCCGGAGTGAAATTCATTCGAAGCCGACTTTCAAAGCCCCCTTCAAATTAAGAAGACGAATTTTTAAGGCGTTGAAATCTTGTTTGGCAAAGAGAATAAATGAGTCAGACGAGGAATACCACCCTTCTATGATACGTAGTTGTTTTTGAGGAGGGGTAAAAATCAAATTCCTGAGGGCTTATCAGTAGTTGCGAAAGAGAAAAAATGCGGGTTTTTCATAATTGAATTAAAAATTATGATTGCAAAATAAATATTTAGTAAATAGTATTGATGACTAAAATAAGGTCAGAATTTTTTGCAATTCTCCGTTTTCTGTGATTTCAAATTCATCTCAAATATATATTATTACTCTGTAGACCAAAGAAGAATCAATTAAATATCAGTCTGTCGGGAAAATAATGTGGATTCGTCGAAACTTGGAATCGCTCATAATCGCTTGCGACGGCTTACCGCGGCTGGAGATCTGGTGTGCGACTGCAACGAGACATTTTGCTGCGAGAAATCCATATTATTTTCCCAACTGACTGGCACTGCTAGTTGTAAAACTGCTATTTTTCACCACTTCTTCCCGACATCACACTGCACGTCAAACTGAGGTAAGCTAAGACAGTACGGTGAATGGATTGGCAATTTGCCAAAAAAAGGCGCAAAGAAACGTTTTGTCGGGGAAGAAGTGGGGATTTTTTGGGGCGAGAGAGTACGCTTTTGCGTGTCTTTTTTCTCTCTTTCTCTGGAAATCAAGACGAAATGGAAAAAACCGATAGCGAAGAGTCTGTTCCGGTCACCAGACTCCTCAATTTGACGTGCACTGTGCAAAAACATGTCCAGACTTTTTGGTCCGTGTTCAAACTCTCCAAAGTTCTCTCTGCCGCTGCAAAGGGAGAGCTGACATTTTCAAGAGCTTTCTTTTTTATTAGTCTGTCGGGAAAATTATGAGCATTATGTCGCATCGAAAATCGCATCACCGACGGAAAAATGAATTGTGTTGCGGAAAAACGAAATTGCTTTCCACTTCAGCGACGCGATTGGCGCATCGACTTTGTGCTCATTATTTTCCCGACACACTGAAATACGAAATTGAAGACAAAAAATTTTTCCCGAAATCCCCGACTTTTCCCAACTTTGGTTTCTCCGAAATCCCCCATCGAAAATTACCTATTTATTGCAACCTCGAAACCGTCGAGACGACCTGGTTTCGAAACAAATTCGCGTTGAGTCAACCCATCAAGAGGGAATGAGGGAAGAGATTGTTTTTGGAACGGTGCGGGTTTGTGATACCCTGAAAGGGAATTCCTGCTGGTCACTGAATCGGAATCAAATTCCGAACACCGGCAAATTGCCGTTCTTTTGACTCATTCTGCGTGATTTGAAGGGTTCAATGGACGCGAATCAATGTAGGAGGCGTTGGAATGGAGGGAGGAAGATATAGTAGGATGAATTGGGGGGAAAAATCTGATATTTGTGGAACGGTAGATATAGGTAAAAAGACGGTCAAAAGTGGCTTATAAATAAAGTATTGGATAGAAAATCCCATTCCATTATTTTCCCGACAGACAGATGAATAACAAATTTATAACAGTTCTGTTAGTTTGTCGGGAAAACAATGAGCACTCAGTCGCATCGAAAATCGCATCGCCGGCGAGAAAATGAATTGTGTCGCGACAAAATCAAATTTCTTTTCACTTCAGCGACTCGATTGGCCCATCAAAATTGTGCTCATTATTTTCCCGACAGCCTGATAAAACAAATCTCGAACCCTTCTTTCGCAACCCTCCCACATGTCCATACTCAGGCCCCTAACCGCGCGCGGTCCGTATGTTTTGCACAGCGCCTTCGCGAGTCCATTCCACGTTCATTGTCCAAAAACAATGGAATGAAACAGAGGGAGAAGAAAAGTTTCTCCCGCACTTTAAAAGCGCCCCCTTTTGTCTTTATGAAAATTGACCACACACGGATGGGATAATTGAGACCTTAAGGGGGGATCGCAGCAGATTTGGGAAGAGGTAATACCCGGTTCTGTCAATTATTTGCGGCAAATTTATGGGTAAAAAATGGATGTCAAGGAAGTTAAGAATTTGAATTTTTGGAAATTTTGAAACAAAATAAAGGTGATTTTTCATAAAATTACAGAAAAGTGGTCAAAGTGCGACGCTCAGATTTGTATGAAAACTGGCAAAAAATAAGATTTTTTGATCGAAATTGGAAAAGTTTTTTGCATTTTTTACGAATTTTGACATGAAAATTTTCATGCCTTTTCTACCGTAAGCTCTCCGCGTATCTCGTATTCTCTCGGCCGTATTCTGAATTAAAATAAAGATTGCTCAGCCGCACGCGCGAACTAAAATTTTCACTAATTGACATGTGGCCTATGTACGAAGCATGCGCAAATTTAAAGAAAATCGAAAAAAAGAGCATTGCGCTTGGTGCTATACCCTTCTTTTGTTGCCTAAACGTAAATTCGAAACAAAGACTTCTCCTAATTTCCCTTGCCAAAGGTCCGAATTAAACAAAAATACCTGAAATTTACTAAAAATCCAAAAAAATCATCCTAAAGAAGTCATCATTTCCTGCGTCCGCGCATAAAAAAGATGTTTGCTATACTACAGCAAGAACTAATTAGCTATCTAAAACGGGCTTTGTCACGTTTACGACAGAATTAGGAGGTTGGCTGAAGGAAAGTGGAGGTAATAAGGCGGTGGTCGAAAGTTTACAAAACCCTAATTTTATGGAGTAGGGAAAAAGAAAGTACATTTGTTATGTAAGATCATTAAATAAACTATGATTAATGAAGGCATGGGTCGTTGAAATCTGTGTAGGGGAAGGGCAAGCGAAGACTCACAAAAAAATGATAGGAACTTCTTTGGGGGCCTGACAAAACCGTTGGATGCTTGACGGATGCCTGGCAAAAGCTCGGCGGAGAACTGACGAAGACTTACAACATGACAGTCTTTTCTAGGTTTTGCTATTGCCTACCTTATGGTTAACTTTCTTGACCCTGAGCTAATGCAGAGACCAAAATAGAGAGACCAAAACTTGGTTCAAAAAACATCGAGCGGTACATTTAGCGTCGTTATAATTGACTTGAGCACATAAAAAAAGCCTCAAAATAGGTCATAGACTATCCTAGCACCCGATCAATACATATTTTCACTCAGCCGGCAAAATAATGAGCATTTTGTCGCATCGAAAGTGGCATTGCAATCGAGAAAATGAATTGTGTCGCGGAAAAATCAAATGGCTTTTCACTTCAGCGACGCGATCGGAACAGCGACATTGCCCTCATTATTTTCCCGACATACTGATAATTTATCCCAAATCAAAATTCTCAGCGATTTCTGCAGAGTGCAAGTTAAAGGTCTCACAAATGTCATACAAATCTCTGATCTTACACTATTCCCAATTTCATTAAAATCTATCGAGATCTTCATAACAAAGTCATCAAAAACCTCTAAAAACTTTTAGCCCAGAATCCTCATTCTCCTTGCCCCGTATCCCCTCCTCCATTCCTCCTCCGCATGCTCCGTTAATCCCTTGCCCCAATTCCGGCATTGCGCGCGAGTCAACGATCGCCGAAGGCGCGGCGGCGTTGAACAATCGAAGGCGAGGAAAAACAGAACGAGGCGATGAATAAGTGTATAAAGTCAGAACGAAAAGGAATCGTTACGGAATTCTGAATCCATTCAAAACGACGTAACATCCCAATAATCGCGCAAAACGACGTCTTAAGTGGCTATCGCTGGCGGTTACTAATTTCCATCCGCGCTATGCATCTGATGGAATGGAGTGTAAAATCGAGGATGAGAGGAGGAGTGCAGTTCAGCGAAGAGTTCAATGAACCAGAAAAATAAGGATGTTGAGGAGAGATTTGGGGGTACTAGTGCATTTTAAGATTCCTTCCGTTCACACCGCGGTGAGCGGTTGGGTTTCCTGCCGACGATGCCGTTGCTGGCAACAACCCCTCCGGAGGATGGCAGAAGCTCAACCCGTGGCAGGACCTTCTTGAGGATTGGCACTCTGGAGAACCGACGTGACATCCCCATCTTGGCCCCGAATCATGGCCCGTTTCTCTACTTTTGATAGGTGATCAGCGGAAATAAATTGAATTGAGTGCATTTTAAAGTCGCTGGAGTGATTTTCGGCGCTTGCACTGTGAGAAAACAAAAGTTCACGTTGCACTGTGAAATTCTTGGGGTTTTGCACCGTGCAATAGGCTTTTATCGGCTGTCGCTCGCACTCTGACTTTTCACCCAGTGGAAACGACAAAAATCAGTTCATCGACTTTGCGAAGAGACTATATAGTATTGTTTGGTACAACCAACCCTGAGAAAAATGAATATGAGCCCTTTAGGTTTTGAGAGAACTGCTTGAAGCGCGACGCATAGATTTTGACAAAACTTGGCATAAATTGAGCTTACTGTCTTGTATGACACATGCGACATTTTAAGCGTGTGCTACGCCAAAACCCTCTAGATTTAAAAGTCTGGTCGGCGTTGCGGAGTGACTTTGTGCGACAAAAAGTAAAGAAACAAGCGGCACGTTGTGAATGAAAAACTACTTTGCACTTTCTTCGCGCGACGTAAGCTTTGATTGCCCATTTCCAAAAGCATTCATTTCGCACTGTGTGTGGTCGGCGTGCACCTTGAATTTTAATCGTCGTAGTGCGACAATTTTCTTGAGCGACGCACAGCATTCCGAGGTTTTTTGCCGTCACCGATCGGTGCCGATTTTCGCTCAAAATGACAACAGGGCTGCGCGCCTCGGCTGATAACTAGCTAGCCCAAAAATGAAAAAGACTAAAAATTGATTTCCAGGTAGAGTGAAAAAAGACCTATCCAATGATATAAATAGGTCCTATTGATTTTCTCCCCACAACGATCTTTTTCGCCTACAAAATTACAAATTTTTTTTGTTTATTCATGGATAAATGCACTTTATGAGGGCATAATTAAAAAAAAAATGGTACCACTCGATAGCAAATAGCCTCTTCTATGACATATCCAAAAATAAGGGAAATTCTGGCCCTTAGGGCACTACAAAATCCAAAAAAATAGCGTATTTTACGTGTTTTTGCGTATTTTTTGGGATTTTTTGCACCGGATGCACAAAAATGAAAAATCGGCTGTTATAGCGTTGTAGTGCACACTCGATTACATATATCTGCCAAATTTCACATTTTCATCTTTACTCCACTTTATGTTCTGAGCCGGTTTATGTGTTAAGGCAACATCGCTGCATCGGGCAATGCCGGATGCCGATTTTAAAAAAAATTTCTGTCTTTTCAGTCGTATTGACTTTGAACATCATGTATATAACGTAAATTTAAGTAAAATCGCATATGTGCAACGTGTTACGGGACGTCGCTGCATCCGGATTCCATACCTGTTTCTAGCCAAATAAACGTCGGAGCATATTCTGGCAGGTCCGTTGTCATCTAAATACTAGTCCCGAAACAAAAATTCCCTTATTTTCGTCATGTTGAAATCAAACACGTTTGTGTCATTACGTGAATTTATGAATGGGCATTTTGTCATCTGGAGCAAAAATCAGTATCTAATATTGATATGAACGTAATATGTCTCAAAAATGAAAAAAAAATTTTAAAATCGGCATCCGGCATTGCCCTATGCAGCGATGTTGCCTTAACACATAAACCGGCTCAGAACACAAAGTGGAGTAAAGATGAAAATGTGAAATTTGGCAGATATATGTAATCGAGTGTGCACTACAACGCTATAACAGCCGATTTTTCATTTTTGTGCATCCGGTGCAAAAAATCCCAAAAAATACGCAAAAACACGTAAAATACGCTATTTTTTTGGATTTTGTAGTGCCCTAAGGGCCAGAATTTCCCTTATTTTTGGATATGTCATAGAAGAGGCTATTTGCTATCGAGTGGTACCATTTTTTTTTAATTATGCCCTCATAGAGTGCATTTATCCATGAATAAACAAAAAAAATTTGTAATTTTGTAGGCGAAAAAGATCGTTGTGGGGAGAAAATCAATAGGACCTATTTATATCATTGGATAGGTCTTTTTTCACTCTACCTGGAAATCAATTTTTAGTCTTTTTCATTTTTGGGCTAGCTAGTTATCAGCCGAGGCGCGCAGCCCTGTTGTCATTTTGAGCGAAAATCGGCACCGATCGGTGGCGGCAAAAAACCTCGGAATGCTGTGCGACGGCGCACTATGCAGATATGTCAAGACTTTTGGTCCGTCGATTTTCTCCTACAGCCGCAGTCTTTGTCCAGCTTTTTCGCATAGCACGTCTTTTAGTCTTTGGCATGTTTCGACCTTATTTTATTCATCAATATTTACTATCAGTATGTCTGAGAAATAACGTTGGAATCGTCCGTCATCGCTTTTCGACGACAAGCACCTCAGTACAACAAAACCCCGTATAAAAAAACGTTTCTATAACAAATAAACGGTTAAAAAATTCAAAAAAATAAGCCCTCGTGTAACAAATCCCTTATATAACGAACAAATTTTTAGCTATTCGAAAAGAGAAAAGGGGATTCATCAAATCTTCAGCCTCTAATTCGAAGCCGAGAAGAATAAGAGATTTCGCTCTGGCGTTTTTTTTCTGAATTGAATGGAACGTCTTCAGATATAAAAGCCTGCCAATTAACGCTGGGGGACGTTGTTTATTCGAGGGGGAACAAAAGCGCATTGCTAATCCAAAAAATGAATGGGCGAGAATTTCGGAAATTGGCTTGGAGAGAAAATTAGTACTATTTTAAAGCGAGGTTAGTACAAAATTTTAATAATATCTGTCTGTCGGGAAAATAATGAGTATTCTGTCGCATCGAAAATCGCATCGCCGACGAGAAAATGAATTGTGCCGCGAAAAAATAAAATTGCTTTTTACTTCAGCGACGAGCTCGGTGCAGCGACATTGAGCTCATTATTTTCCCGTCAGGTTGAAAAATTCAAAAAAAAAATTTAAAACTTGGCGCTGGCATGTTTACAAGAACTGGGACAAGTTGACAAAGAGAGTATCCCAAGGGCGACGCTCAGATTTTCTTTAAATTTTGTACACGGCATGAGTATAGACTAGATATCAATTCCTAAAATTTTCAACTCGCACTTTGCAGACGCCGCCGAGATATTCAACAATCTTTGCGGCCGAGAGAGTGCGCGAAATGCGGAGAGCGGTTAAGAAAACAACTTTTTTTGGCCATATCTGTGCCAGTTTCGTGCGAAAAAAAATGATTTTTTGTATAAAAATTACCCTACACAGTAGAAATATCTACCGAAACTTTTCATGTCAAAAATCGCAAAAAAATTGTCGAATTTTCACCAAATTTCGGCTAAAAATCTCGGATATTTCTGCAAAGCGCGAGCTCAAATTCTTTCACGAGTCTTAGAGAATCCTAATTTTAATCTACGCCAAGTTTCCGTAATAGTAAAAGCAGTAAAATTTTTTTAAATTCATTTGTAAAAAAATCGCCCAACCTTCAAATTTCAGCAATTTACACAAACCGTATTTTACAAATCCCTTTAAAATCAATTCCAAGATTAAATGCGCATTTGAAAACCGAGTCCATTGTGAATGAAGCCGGTTCAAAAAACCCTTTATTCGAGCGTTTACGACGAAAAAACGGCATCAAAACGGTTTCGCTCCGGGTTTCTCTCGCCTCTCCGCATTTCGCGCGCTCTTCCGCCGCGATCCGAATGGGGATATTATTATAAAACGATATGTATATTGCTCTGTTACCGGCCTCGAGATGATTTATTCCGATCCGTCCAAGTCGGCGCCTTCCAAGGTCAAGGGAGCAAGTTTGGAGTGAAGGAGGGGTAAAGGAGGGGCTTTTGGAGGGATTGAGGTCAAAAAGGGGGCGTTAAAAGATACTAGACCGTTCGCAAAGTCGCTGGAGTGATTTTTCAGTCTGTCGGGAAAATAATGAGCACTCTGTCGCATCGCCGCCGAAGAAAATGAATTGTGTCGCCAAAAATCTTTTTTTTTCACTTCAGCTAGGCGACGAAGCCGGGCCGGGCCGGGAAAATTTTAAGGAGGCCGGGGCCGGGCCGACCTCTTCCGGCCCCCGGGCCGGGCCGCGATTTTCGGCCCGGCCCGGCCCCAGAGCCATGTCTGGGCGCAACAAATCCACATTATTTTCCCGACAGACTGATATTGAAAATTCGATTTTTTTTGTTTGGTTTTCCGATCAACGGTACAGCAAAAAATTTAAAAAATTCAGAAATAAAAAAATGAAAATAAAAAAAAAAAAATTTTTCTTTTCCTCCATAAAATCGAATTTCTTTACAAACCTATTTTCCCAGAAAACTGTTCAGAAATCCCCCCAAAATGTTCAGAAAACATCCCCGCTTTCGAATGGCTCAAATAGTACGACCCCCGTCGCCGATGCAATTTCCCCAAGTCTCGTGTTTTCCTCCGGGTTTCGGAATAAACAACATCGTCTTGAATGGTAATCCCCACCCATCTCGGTCGGCCTCAAAAAGCATCAATTATTTATTTTTACACTAAACTTATTCGTTTTTTACAGCCGCGCCCGCGGAAGCGGGTTGTTGTTGGGGTTCGGGAAGAGTATGATTAATTGGAATTGCTGTCAATACTAACAGCAAAACAATACTAAATAAATTGATATTTTTTCTTACAAGGAAAATACTCCAAGTGTGACGCTTAGATATTGATGAAAGTTGGCTCAGATTTAAAATAATTTTCTCTAGGACGTATGCGGAACTCCTAGCTTGTGATTTGCAGAAATGATCGAGATTTTTAGGTTGAAAGTAAAAAAAAATGGGACACTTTTTTTTATGAATTTTAGAGTGAAAAGTTTCATGCCTATTTCTATCGTAGGGAGTGATGTTTCCATAAAAAAATGCTTTTATTTTTGTTTTTCCCTCTAACCGCTCTCCGCATTTCGCTTACTTACTCGACCACAAAGATCGTTCAATTTCTCGACTGCCCCTGCAAACCGCGAGCTAAAATTTTCAGAAAATAATATGTAGCTCATGCCCGAGGTGAGCAAAGCTCAGGCTTTGATGAAGCAACGCAAAGTTTAGGCTAAATTTTTTATGACGCGCTTTGCAATTTTTAGGTCAAAAGTAGGCAAAAATGTAGCTTGTTTTTTTACAAATTCTGGATTGAAAAGTACAACACCTCTTTCTACCGTTGAGTGTAACTTTTCCACAAAAATCATTTTTTTGTGTTTCTTTCAGACCGCTCTCCGCCTTTTCCGTAATCTCTCGGCCGGAAAAATTGTTGAACATCTCCGCTGTCCCTGCAAACCACAAGCTAAAACTTTCAGGAATTGATATGTGGCCTATAAAAGATCTGTGCGCAAAATTTAAAGAAAACCGGAGCTTCGCACCTCAAACACTTCCCTCCTAAATTTAAGCCAAATTCCACCTAAATCTCTCATACTCCAAACAAAAAGTACATTCAAATAAAGAAACCCCTCCAAAATGACCGCAAGGAACTCGCAATGACATTACAAATTCGTATTCATGAAACGCGCCAGAACAAGAAATGGGCGTTCGGTGTTTAAGTGTGCCGCAAGTCTTTAGAATTTCCCTTTTCTGCACTCAAGAGGGGCGTTATATAAAAGGGAAAAGGGTTGGAAAACAAGTCAAGGGTCGGAAATTCACTTTTCGACCATTTGCGGGATTTTTTTTTGCAAATATTAATTGGGTTTGTAGGGAAAACGGATGTTGTAATATGAGCACAACACATAATGGATTAGGAAACCAACCTCGCTCGTGGTATCTGGCGGCTCTTTGCGTCGTATTCATCCGATGAATCGCGTCAACACTGTAATACGATTAGATTTTTTTTTACTTTATTTTTTTCATAAAGTGCATGGACACTTTTTTCGCTTCCGCACAGTGCGTTTTGAACTTTTTCCCACGTTTGTCGCAGCGCACAGTGCATTCTTTTTTTCGCACAGTGCAAACCTCAAAAATCAGCTCTTTGCACTGTGCAAATTTTTTCGAACCGACGGAGCGACAAAGCTGAAACTTGCTTATGTCGCAGCGATATTTCACATGCACAGTGCGAAAACCTTCTCTTTCGCACAGCGCATTTTGAACCTTTTTCCACGCTTGTCGCCAACGCACAGTGCATTGTTCTTTTTTCGCACAGTGCAAACCTCAAAAATGTCATTTGCACTGTGCGGTGGCGACAAGCGTGGGAAAAAGTTCAAAAAATGCATTTTGCAGCGACGCAGCCGAAACTTGCTTATGTCGCAGCGATATTTCACATGCATGCACAGTGCAAAAACCAAAAAAAAGGTGAAACGCACAGTTCAAAGAGGGGTGTTTTTTGTGCACAGTTTGGGCCGCGAAAAAATGTCCATGCACTTTATGAAAATACTAATATTAGTCTGTCGGGAAAATAATGAGCACAATGTTGCTGCACCAATCGCTGAAGTGAAAAGATATTAATATTTGATTTTGTCGCGACACAATTCATTTTCTCTGTCGCGATTTCGATGCGACAGAATGCTCATTATTTTCCCGACAGACTTATAATATGTATGTATTTTAGAAACGACCCCGATGACTTACAATTGTCCCGGCAGAATGATCAAGATGCACTGTAATCGTGCGTTTTGAAACAGACTCAAACACTCTTCTCTGTTGCACTCGTGCACTTCTTGGCCATCGACTTCGAGAATTCGGTCGCCAGCTTCCAATCCAGCCATATGAGCGACAGAACCCTCTTCGATTTGCTCCACGCGCACCGAGACAACTCTGAAAATACACACAGTTAAAAATCTGTGCAAGGCGTTGCAATTAGTTGAAATAGGCCAAAAAATAGTTTGTTATGGAAAGATTTGAGTGTAATTTGTAAAAATTTAGCGTTTTCAAGAGAATTTGACTGCTTACCGATCAGTCAGGTCGTTGGTTTCAATGGCAATCCCAATTCCAAGCCGCTCATTCATCGATCTCCGCTTGAGCACCAATTTTGCATGCGCCATCTTTGCTGGAGAACGCAGAATCTTCTTGACCAGGTTGCGTTTTGTTCGGAGGAACACGTTCTGAAGAAAATCTCAAGTTAAACGTTATATTATTACAACCAGAGATTGCCACGGCCAAAATTCCGCCGCTCCGGCTTTTAGCTCCCTGCGCCGGAGCCGAGGCCAAAATTCCGGCTCCGGCTGCCGTCTCCCGTGCAAAATTTAACTGTTTTGGTTTTTTTACTATACAAATGTGCGCTATTGAACTTTCATGGCTTTATTAGAAAACAACGACAAAGTTATTAGTGTCAGAGATACCACACTCAACGTTTTTGAGCCAATGAGCCAAGTCGTACGTAAAACAAGGAATTGGTTGAACAAGATCACAAAATTTTTAGTTTTCTGAACGCTGAGAAGCCTGGCTCAGACTTTTTCGTCCGGCTCCGGCTTTTGGATCCGGCTCTGACCCGGCTCCGAGCCGGAGCCGCTCAGAGCAGGAGCCAAGAGTCGGCTCCGGAGCAGGCTCTTGGCTCTGGCAATCTCTGATTACAACAAAAACTTTCAGTCTGTCTGGAAAATAACGAGCTCAATGTCGCTGCACCAATCGCGTCGCTGAACTGAAAAGTAATTTGATTTTGATGTTGTCTGGACATAATTCATTTTCTTGATTTTCGATGCGACAGTTTGCTCAACATTTTCTCGACAGACAGATAGAAGAAGAAGGCTTAGTTTTGATTAGAATATATCCAACAAATTGGAAGCTACGTATTTTACCAGCGCGTTGTTGCAAGATTCCTACCCTATCTGCATCCCTCAACCTCCTTCTATTGGGCTGCATGTTTAGACACATGCAGTAAGCTAATACCAGCATCACATGGTAAATCACCTAGCCAGGCTTATTTTAGGTTCTCGCTATTTTTAATTTCCTTTTATATTATTCTTCTAACAAGTCAAAAATTTGAGGAAATGTCAATCAAAAATTCGAAAGTGAACTCTCCTGGAAATGACGAGAAAGTCTACAAATCGAATACGTTGTGGAACCGAAAACCCCGAATTAAAGTCTGATGCGGATGGTGTGGAAAAAATGCTGTTTACTTTGCTGTTAAATGGGACAGTATTGTTATCAAAACAAATGTGATGATATTATGAATAAATTTGTATTGCAGAAGCATGGAATACGAAGGAAAATAAATATTCATGGGCTTAATGACAGGGTAAATAAGGTTACTATCGTATTGAGGTAGCATCTATTAGCCTGTCGGGAAAATAATGAGCATAATGGCTGCGCCAACCGAGTCGCTGAAGTGAAAAAAAATTTGATTTTGCCGCGACACAGTTTACTTTTTGATGGCGACATAGTGCACATTATTTTCCCGACAGACTGATAGCATCAAAATTTACCACAATTGCTCATATCTCCTCTACGGGTCATCAAAAAAGGATCCTTAAAATTGTCGGAAGTGCCTTAACTAGAATTTTTCAAAAAGTTCGTAAGGTGAGGTAAAGTTGCGCCAAATCTCACAAGGGAAGTCACTTTTTTCGCAGACGGACTTTGGAACGGCACCTAGTAGGTTTCAAACGTGAAGCGTCTGCGATCATAAAACTGATTTCCAAAAGTGTTTACGGGACTTCTCGGCCGAGAAAATCGACCACAAAGTTTAGCCGAAATGAGCGAATAGCCTCCTCCAAAGAAACAGCTTATTTTATCTGCAGTGGTGGCCGAGTGGTCAGCGCGCTCGCTTTTTGCGCCAGAAGACGTGAGTTCGACTTCGGTCGTCTGCGGATGCATTTCTTTTGACAATTGAATCAAATAGAGAGATGCCGTTAACATCACATATCCTAATTATTAGCAATTTTTAATAAAACACAAATTTAGAAAGTATATCTTCATCAACCCAGCCCTGTTTTGACTTTACAATATTCATGAACATTCAGCTTTGAATTTATGTTTAATTACTGTAAAAAATTACAAAAGTGTATACATTTTATGTTTACATACTAAATCAATATTTACGAACCAAAAAAGAAAATAAACTGCGCCAGGGATCGAACCCGCCTCTTCTGGCGCAAAAAGCGAGCGCGCTGACCACTCGGCCACCACTGCAGATGAAATAAGCTGTTTCTTTTGAGGAGGCTATTCGCTCATTTCGGCTAAACTTTGCGGTCGATTTTCTCGGCCGAGAAGCCCCGTAAACACTTTTGGAAATCAGTTGTATGATCGTAGACGCTTCAGGTTTGAAACCTACTAGGTCCCGTTCCGAAGTCCGTCTGCGAAAAAAGTGACTTCCCTTGTCAGAAAACCGTAGCAGATAAAAGTCAGGCCAAATTTTTGCTGTTTTAACCAATTTTTAAGTCCAACGTTTCTGGCTTTGGTCATAATTTGCAAAGTTTTGATATATACTGGTTGAAAAAATCTTCTTTCCACCTGGATCTCGGTAACTGTTGGGCCTAGAACCTTGACATTGGGTACAGAAACACTGTGGAACAGCCTAACACGATACCCAAAAAATCGTTTCTATGCCGAATTTGGAGGCTCTAGGCCAGCGGTTCCCGAGATACGAGGTGGAAAGAAAATTTTGTCAACCAGTATAGGAACGGCGGCTGTGTCCCACTCCTTTTTGGGATTGGCTTCTGTCAGCGACTGCAAGAAAGACGCAGACTGGCTGATTAAAATCGCTTTACAGAGCTAGGTTCTCAAAAAATCATAACAAAATTTCCGACTATCGATCGGTTTGCAAGCCCAGTAACTATTATAGACTCCACTCCTCATCCTCACCATATTATTGTTTTTGATACTGTTATTGTCTGAGTTGGATTATAATAATAAGTTCACGGTCTGGAGAGGAAAATAACAAAAGAGATGTGCGCTGTTTTGAGTAGCAATTCCGCGGTCTTTGAATGCTTACGGAAGCAAAATAACTTGGCCGAAAAAAGCTGGTACTGTAACTTACATTGTAATTGCGATCCCGTCGCAGCTCGGTATCGTCTTTTCTTCGTCTCCAATGGAGAAAACGAAGATCTTCGGCGGAGCTGGAACGTCGCTGAAGGATTGGGACAAGAGAGCGTTCTGTAAAAGGCCGCTCGAAATCCGCAACACGCATTAGTTCGGATGACCTGAAAGAAGATAAAAAATATTATATTTTACATGAGAAGGGTCATAAGTGAAAAATATATGAGTTTTAGTAATAAATTCAAAAAAAAGTTGAAATTCTGCGCTGATATTTTAACGAGACTTGGCATAAATTAACCAGGGAGGTAACCCAAGTGCGAAGGTCAGATTTTCTTTAAATTTGGCATAGACATCGGTATTAGACAGAGATTTCCACGGTCAAGTTTTCGGCTCCGGCTCCGGCTCTTACAAGGGAATGGACTTTATGTGTAAATCGATTTTGGCTTGGGACCTAGTCAGATCGAAAGGTGTGTGGTAGTCGATTATTCACTTGGGGGGAAATCTCTGCGCGGGGCTTCAAATCCGAGAAAATCGGCTTCAAAAGTTTGGACGAAAGTCAAAGGATAAGGATCCCGGAAAAGGAGCGATAAAAAGTGTGAAGCAGTGGCCGAGTGGTCAGTGCGCTCGCTTTTTGCGCAAAAGGTCGCAAGTTCGAATCTGCTTCCATTCATAACTTTTTTAGACAAAAACTTCTATTAATTTTTTTCCCTGAACTCGATTATCGATACAAGAAGTATATCTTAAACGGAACTTTTCCATTTTCAACGGCTTCGCAGCTTCCCTTTACAGTTTTAGAGCGCAGGGCACACCATCAACCTGAAGTATTCAAAAACAACTTTCCATTATGTTAACTTTTTTTTTATCTATACCCCTTTTTTAAATGTACAGCCGGATTAGCACGAAGAAAGCAAAAGTAAAAACGATAAATGATGACTTGGGCTTGGAAAGATTAGAACCTGCAACCTTTTGCGCAAAAAGCGAGCGCACTGACCACTCGGCCACTGCTTCACACTTTTTATGGCTCCTTTTCTGGGATCCCTATCCTTTGATTTTCGTCCAAACTTTGAAGCCGATTTTCTCGGCTTTGAAGCCCCGCGCAGAGATTTCCCCCCAAGTGAATAACCGACTACCACACACCTTTCGATCTGACTAGGTCCCAAGCCAAAATCGATTTACACATAAAGTCCATTCCCTTGTTAGCTCCCAGAGTCGGAGCCGAGGCCAAATTTGCAGCTCCGGCTGCCGGCCCCGTGCATAATTTAAAAAGGTCTCCGGCTCCGAATCCCGGCTCCTTGACAACTTCCGACCTAGAACTCTCTGTAGTTCTGTAAAGCGCGAGCTAAAAATTTTTGGTCTAAATTTTGGTGATGTTTTATGAAAAACATGAAGAGCGTCGCATTGTGGGGGACTAGACATGGCATTCAGGCAGGGCGAAATCAAATTGGGACGGGCTTGGCCGACCCGGTAAACAAAGCTAGCGCAGAAATAGTTATGGAACTTTGCATGCCAAAAATTTGCAAAAAAATTTACATTTTTTCCAACTGTTTATCAAAAAATGTCGGTTGTTTCTGTAAAGCGCAAGCTAGGAATCTCGTATGTGGATTAGAAAAAAATAATCTAAATTTTTGTCAAGTTTCATCAAAATCTGAGCGTCGCACTTGGACCTTTTCTCTGTCAGCCAAATGAAAGTATACCAGTCGTTTCATCAAGTGCATAGACTTTTATTCGCGGCGCACAGTGCATTTTTCTTTTTTTTTGCACTATGCAATTGTTGTCCGACCAAAATGCGCAAAACCTTGCGACGAAAAGTCAACGCACTTTCTGGAACGACTAGTACGAATTCAGGGTCCAAAAAAAGGTCAGTAAAGAGACTTCGAAAAATTCCCGACCTTTCGAGTGTCGGCTTCGGCCAGTTGCGTCGAATGTTCAGCACCACATCACTCGACTTGTCCAGCCCCTTGAAGGCATTCAGCGCTTGCGCGTGAGTGAATCCGGAGAAGGTGTGCCCGTTCAGCGCCACTATCTCGTCGCCTGAAATCATTTTATTGAAAGTAGACTTGATAAAAAAACAAAAAAAAAATCCTTCAAATTGAAACGAGCGTATTTTACAACTTCTTACTGTAACATTGGTAAAAATAATGCAACTCGTGATCTCCTCAATTATTCAGGCCAAAAAAAGAACGCTAAAGAACGTCGCGGTTCAACGGCCATAAACAAAGAATGAACGCTGACAATTGTTCGAAAAATACGGATTCGTATGATATAAAGGTTCGAAAAACATGACTCTTGTGACCTTGAGAAAAGAAAAGTTTCGGTGTCACAAAATGTCAAAAATTGTTTGTCATATTGGATTCTTAATCATTTACTATGCATTGCAGTTGAACTTTTGTACAACGAATTACAAATAACCTAAAAATTTACTGTTATAGGCAAGTTTTTCACAAAGGAGGTACTCCAAGTGTAATGCTCAGATTTTCTTTAAACTTTGCACACGTGCTTTTCATAGCTCATATATCAATCCCTGAAAATTTTTGCTCCCGCTTTGCAGCCGCAGCCGAGATATTCAGCGATCTTTGCGGCCGAGAGACTACGGAAAAAGCGGAGTGTGGTCAGAGAGAAAACACTTTTTGGCCGTGTCTTTCCTATTTTCGTGCTCAAAAATTTGATTGTTTGAGGAAACATAACCCTCTACGGTAGAAACAAGGGTGAAGTTTTTCATGCCGAAATTTGAAAAATAGTGTCAAATTTTTGACAAATTTTCGACCTAAAAATCTTGGATGTTTCTGCGAAGGGCAAGCTGGAAATCTAGGATATTTCTAGGATAAATTGCTCTAAATTTGTGCCATGTTTCAACAAAATTTGAGCGTCGCACGTGGAGCAATTCCCCTGTTTATGTTACGCTTTTCCAAAAGTGCAGAAACATTTTCCGGCCTTTTTTGCCCCGCACCGTGCATGTTGCGCGACGAAATCCATTTTGCACTGTGCAGTTTGTTTTTGCACGCCCAAAATTCGCAGCGACACAGCTGAGAAAAGCTTGCGTCGCAGCGATATCCGGTTGCACAGTGCAAAAGGTCAAATGCACCCCGGAAAATGGAGGTTTGTGCACGGTGCGGCCCACGACAAAATGTCTACGCACTTTTGAAAAAGCGTAATAAGGGGACTGTTTTGGCCTAAACCTTTTTCCAGCTATCTCAAAAAAATGTTTATAATCGACAGGTTTCATTGTATGCGAGTCAGTCTGTACAGAGATTCTACTGCATACATAATAAAAAACTAGTAAATTGCAAATTTCCCTTTGGCACTTTGTGAAAAGGAACGATAAACTATCCACTAATCCCTCCCGCTTGTTCCATAACTCTTCCGCGACATTCTGTCAGAGGATTTTTTTCTCTCCAAAAAGTGCTAATAAACAAATTTCTTCAAAAATTCCAGACAGGTGTTGGATTAAAATGAGAAAATTATACGAAAAAATCAAAGCTCAAAATTTCACCGATACCTTTCTGAAGTAGCCCACTTCTCGCGGCGATCCCATCCGGATAAATGGTCTTCACAAAAATGGGCATTGGGCCCTTGGGCGAGTCGATGCCACCGACAATACTGAAGCCGAGATTCATTGGCTTCCGACGCGATCGACGGGAAGAGGATGTGTCTGAAAAAAGTGACAATTTATTGTGACTGGGGTAATCATCAAAGACCTCTTTTGCGGCTGGGCCTTTATTTAATTTTCACCGAGGCTATAGGTCTTCGGCTTTTCGAAAATTCTGAAATTTTATATTTCATTTTTTTATAATCACGTATTTTACCTGTAGGCGGAGAAAGCTTTTGATTGGCTTATCAGTCTGTCGTGAAAATAATGTGGATTTGTCGCAAAAAAATGTCTTTCCTCGTCGCAGTCGCGCTCTAAACTCCAGCTGCGACTAGCCCTCGCAAAGCAATGATGGGCGATTCCGAGGCGCGACGAATCCACATTATTTTCCCGACAGATAGATATTTTTGAAAGTCCAAAAGCTCAATTTATGTACAAGGGAAGTACCCGAAGTGTGACACGCAGATTTTCTCTAAATTTTGCACCCACGTCAAACATAGACTAAACATCAATTCCGGAAAGTTTTGGCTCTCGACTTGCTAGGACAGCCGAAATATTGAACAATTTGCCGCCGAGAGAGCATGCGAAACGCAGAGAGCAAAATTTTCATTTCCTGAAAGTTTAAGCTGGCGCCTTGCTGGGACAGCCGAGAGATTGAACAATCTTTGCTACCTAGAGAGTACACTAAACGCGGAGAGCGATCAAAGCGAGAAAAATATTTTTTGCCATAACTTTTCTAGTTTTGTGCGGAAAAAATTGATTTTTTGTGGAAACATTACCTTTTACGGTAGAAATAGATACGAAACATTTCGTCCCAAAATTCGGCAAAAAATCGCAAATTTCTTGCCATCTTTTGATCCAAAAATCCCGTCGTTTCTGCAAAGCGCGAGCTAGAATTCTCGGATACATTTTATAAAAAATTATTCTAAATTTGTCCCAAGTTTCATCAAAACCTGAGCCTCGCACTTGGAGTACTTCCCCAGTCAGTTAGTTATAGACCCGACAGCCCGTCAGCTCGTTAATTATGCCGCTAAAACTCCGTAAATAAAGAAACAGAAAATATTCTTAATGAGGTGGTCGTTCCAAGCGACGATTAACGAAAAAGAAGATTTTCCTTTCATCAACAGCAATGGTATGCCCTCATCGAAATGGAAATCCCAACAGCCCGGAGCGTCTTGTAATCCTCACCTGAACCCTTTTCGGGGCGATTAAACTCCGGACTGTAATCGGAAGATGAGGGGTTTCGGTTGGAGCGTCCATCCTCCTCCTGACGCCGCAGCAGCACCGTCTGGATCACGCCCAACGGCTCGGGTGACGATATGCAGGTCATGGTTGTGAGATGATGAAAATGTGGACGAGCGATAGGGAAATTTCGTGTGTTACTTTAGAGAATTACGAAGATTTGACGTGTTTGAAGACTAAATGGCTGTATGACGTTGTTATATGCAATGAAGATAGTTCATCTATCTTCTACATCACAATGTTGGAAGTTGTGGCTTCTGAAAGAAGAATACATTATGATTGATTACAAAGTTTTATAAAAGAAATGTCCAACACGAAAAAAAGTAAATGAAATAAGAGTAACGTATATTAAACAACAGCCGATTTTCATAGTTATCAGTCTGTCGAGAAAATAATGTGGATGCAATTTGAAATCGCATATCATCGCTGTGCGACGGATAGCCGCGGCTAGAGATTTGGTGGACGACTGCGACAAGCCCACATTATTTTTTAAACTGATACTTGTCCCTTCGCAATGTCGCTGGTGTGATTTCGACAACACGCAGTGTGATAAAACGAAGGCTGACTTTGCACTGTGCAAATGCTTTTTTTGGCCTGTCGATCGCACCGCGACTTTTCTTGCACAGTGTATGTCGCAAAAATCACTCCAGGCGTTACGAGCGTGCCATCAGCGCGTCGGGAAAATATAAGCACTCCTAGGTCTCATCGAGAAGCCTAGAAAATGAATTGTGTCGCTGCAAAATCAAATTCCCTTTAACTTCAGTGTCACAATTGGACAGCAAAATTGTGCCTATTATTTTCCCGACCGACTGGTAGGAATATCTTAATTTGAAACAAAGTCTTACTACTAGATATTCCTTTCTGCATAAATCACCAAAAACTGTCGCGAATCCCCTCAATGTTTCCCACATTTTTCCCAAATATCCCGCGTTGCGCAAGGAAGTAAAATATCTATTGGTCATTGACAAATATACGTTTCAGACCCCTTCTGGTTTTGTACGATGACAAACGGTCATTAACGGAGGCCATTAAAGGCAGACAACTGTTTATCCAGACAAGGAGTGTGGAAAAAACAAAAAGCATCTTAGCAATGACTCAGTTCATGCATAGAAAATACAAATAAGTACATAAAAAGCGCAATTAAGGTAATGGAAAAACAAAGGTCACTATTGTCAGGGGAATTAGTCCATGTGTGGTGCTCAGATCTTGATGAAACTTGGCACAAATTTAGAATAGTTTTTTATAAAGCATATTCAAGACTCCTAGTCCGCGCTTTGCAGAAACAACCGAGATTTTTGGATCGAAAGTTGGCAAAAAATTTGCGATTTTTTGCCGAATTTTGGCACGAAGTGTTTCGTATCTATTTCTACCGTAAAAGGTAATGTTTCCACAAAAAATCAATTTTTTCCGCACGAAACTAGCAAAGTTATGGCCAAAAAGTGTTTTTTTTCTCTGACCGCTATCTGAATTTCGCGTACTCCCTCGGTGACAAATGTTGGTCAATATCTCGGCAATGCCTGTAAAGCGTGGGCTAAAACTTTCAGGAATTGATATCTAGTCTATGCTCGACGTGTGTGCAAAATTTAAAGAAAATCTGTGCGTTGCACTTGGGGTACTTCACTTGTACAAAAATTGAGCTTTTGGGCCTTCAAAAATATCTGTCTGTCGGGAAAATAATGTGGATTTGTCGCGCCTTGGAATCACCCATCATTGCTTTGCGTCGGCTGGCTGAGATTTTGAAGCACGACTTCGATGTGAAGAGACATTTTGCTGCGACAGATCCACATTATTTTCCCGACAGACTGATAGGCCAAAGCATGGTCTTTTCCCGCCTTGAGGTAAGATACGTCGTTATAAAAAAAATGAAATATAAAATTTCTCAATGCTCAGAAAGCCGAAGACTTATAAGACTTATAGCCTCTGGCAGATTACCATAAAGGCCCAGCTTCAGCCGCAAAAGAGGTCTTTGATGATTCCCAAGCTCGCTTTTTTCTCGAAGTTTTACAAAAAGGGTTCAGAAAACGTTCTTTCTTTCCGCCAAATACGGTGCGCTGCTCTCTGATTTCGGTGAATCAAAATCCAAACAAAAAAAGTTGGTTTGCAGGAAAAGTATTACAAAGTGTTACAAAACTAGAAAGCAACTTCTAGATGAGAAAAAAAAAATTTAAAAAAAATAAATCAGATTTTTTTAATGGTAATAGGGAATCGCTGGGATTTTTTGATCGGAAGCGGAACAGTTTTTGCATTTTTTTGGCTTACAGGGGCCAAAAAATTAGTTTCTGGGAAAATCTTTGCTCCTTGGGCCAGAATACGTTTATGATGACTTGGCAAACGTTTTCCAGGACATATTTTTTTGACTAAACTGTGAGCTCAAACAGCAACAGATCGAGGCCAAAGCGCAATGCCTTTAGTAGAAAATATGTTATGTAAATTTTAACATAAAAAGGGAAGTACTCCGATACGTTCATGCCCATGTTAGATGAAACTTGGCAAAGATTTAGAATAGTTTTTTTCTAGTACATATACGAGAGCCCTAGCTCGTGCTATGCGAAAACGACCGAGATTTTTAAATCAAAAGTTGAAAAAAATGTAACATTTTTTTGCGAATTTTCACAAGAAAAATTTCATACTTGTTTCTACCGTATAGCGTAAAGTTTCACAAAAAAAATAATTTTTTCCGCACGAAACTGGCAAAGATATGGCCAAAAATTGTTTTCCTCTCTGACCGCTCTCCGCATTTGGCGTACTCTCTCGGCCGCAAAGATCGTCGAATATATCGGCTGCGCCTGCAAAGCACGAGCTAAAACCTTCAGGAATTGAAACATAAAAATTTTTAAAAAAATCTGAGCGTCGCACTTGGGGTACTTCCCTTGTACATAAATTGAGCTTTTGGGTCTTCAAAAATATCTGTCTGCCGAGAAAATAATGTGGATTCGTTGCGCCTTGGAATCGCCCATCATTGCTTTGCTACGGCTAACCGCTGGTGGAGATTCCATTCGCGATTGCGACGAGAAAAGAGACTTTTCTGCGAACATTCCACATTATTTTCCCGACAGAGTAATAGGCCAAAAAATAAGTTTTTCCCACTGTTAACCCCTGAGTTTTCAATCTCAGAAAATATTTGTTCAATCATAGAAAAGTTGCGAAAATTGAGCGCCTCTCGCTCTCTTTCCAGAATAATTTCAGTGTGTTCAGTTTTCGCTTGTCCATTCCGGTCGGAGACAAAGGGATGCCGGCGATTCCCGAGCGACTGAATTCAATTCGCCTCACCAATAATTGCGGCATTCGGGTTCAGCGGGATATATTGGTATTTCTCCTCCGATTTGGGAGGAAAACAAGGTAAATTGAGAGAAAGTTGGGGTGGGAAAAAGGTTGGGAATAATTTCAAAACTGGTAAAAGTAAAGTCGTCAAAGAATTTGAAGATTTTGATGACATTTGGAGTAATTTTAGAGAAGAGGTACTCCAAGTGCGACGCTCCGATTTTGATGAAACTTGGCGAAAATTTAGAATAGTTTTTTATAAGGCATATGCGAGACTCCTAGCCCTCGCTTTGCAGAAATGACCGAGATTTTGTGCTCGAAAGTTGGCAAAAAATTTACACTTTTTTTGCGATTTTTACTATGAAAAGTTTCATGGCTATTTATACCGGGGAGAGGAATGTTTCCACAAAAAAATAATTTCTTCCGCGCGAAACTGGCAAAGTTTGGCCAAAAGTGTTTTTTCTCTCTGACCGCTCTCCATGTTTGGCATGCTTTCTCGGCGGCAAAGATCGCTCAATATCTCGGCGACCGTTGCAAAGTGAGAGCTAAAATTTTCAGGAATTGATATGTGGTCCATGCCCAATGCGTGTGCAAAATTTAAAGAAAATCTGAGCGTAGCACTCGGGGTTTGTTAGATCAGAATTTTCTACGAAATACGCAAATTTTTTACCTCACGCTTCACAGAAGACAGGGAAATTTTTGGTCGAAAATCCCAAAAATTAGATTTTTTTAAAAGCTGAAATCTTTTCGCATTTTTTACCGTTTCCAATTTGAATTCGCAAAGCCCGGGCTAAAATTTTTAGGACATAATTTGTGGCCCAGCAAGCAGCAATTCTTCCAAATTAAAAAAAAATATTTTTCAAGACTATTCTTCGAAACAAAATTTGCATTTTTTCCCTCAAAAAATCACCGATAAGTTTAAGAAATCAACAGATCAAAACAACCCTTCAGAACCGCCTCAAATCCCCATACTGCGATTGCAAAAACTACCTTGCTAGAGATCCCATTTCATCCCTCCCAAATCCCCGCTCATCCATATAAGACGCGTAAGAAGAGGCGACAAAATTTACGGAACATTAAATTACAATTTAAAGAAAAAAGAGAGAAATCCCATCATTTTCGCTGCACAAACCATGAATTTTGGCGAATTGCCTAAGAACAAACGAAAGGAGAATTTTGCCATTGTTTTCGCGAAATTAGGGAGGGAAACACTAATTTGAGGGTGTAAAATATACCATTAATTTTTAGTGAAAAAATAAAGCCAAGAAAAAACAATAATAGTTGAAAAAAACGAAATTCTCGAAAGGCATAGCGTAGCAATAATATTATAGCATTTTTAATAAAATGCATGGATATACGGCCCTTAGCGTGTACAAAAATCCTCCATTTAGCACCGTGAATTCATTATTTTCCCGACAGACCGGTAAAACTCAGAATATAAACTTTTTTCCAGAATATAGAGCAAACATACGAAATGAGGTAAGAATCACCACTTCCGAGACAAACCCAAGGTTAAATCGCACTCTAAGCAGCCCCAATTAGCATATTTATCCGAACTTTGATTGTTGAAAAATAGGTTACTCGTCGAGATTGAATTATTGAAAAGTTTAACAGTACAAAGAACTGTTTATAAAACATTTTCGTGACTTTGAGTATGAATAATCAACGTTAAACTTTCATCCAGTAAATCATAGGGGAAGTAGTCCAAGGTCGAGGCTCAGATTTCTTTTTAATTTTGAATGGGCATAGATCACTAATTAATTCATGAAATTTTTAGCTCACGCTTTGCAAGGGCATATTGAACAATCGAGATATTGAACAATCTTT